AAGATTGGTCCCCCCCACCGCTCCCCATTAAGGATTGGCACCTTTGGGGAGCAGGGTGGTGGGCAACGGGTACCCAAATTTGACAGGTACCCGCTCCCACTTCTGCTGCGATCGCCTAGGTGATCATAAACAGAAGTTGTCCTCCTACCCTCCCTCCCCGAAATCTTGTGGGACACGTGACAGGTCCCAGAAGACAACGGGGCCATTCAGGAAGCCCAACGCTACTCACGCATGCAAGTGGGCACCCGGCTGTGAAGCCGCAAGCTGTCACAACCGGGTGCCCACACTGAAGATTCCGCCACCTGGAATACAGGACGGCCGGTAAAAAACGGGCTGCGGCGGGGGCAACGCAGGATCGTGGGACAGGTGAGTGCATGTTTTTTAAAAATCAGCAGCTACAGTTTTTGTAGCTGCTGACTTTTATTTTTTTACAGAGTGAGTGGAACAAACTCTTTTGTAAATAGAACAAATTTTATATTGAAAAAGTGCCTTCCAACCAATAAGCTCTAAATACCGTAAACCATCTAACATAAGCATTAAAATAAATCATAAACATGGTACTCAATATGATAAGATAGTGATACCATATGATCTCACTGGGTACTATATTACAATATATACAACAAATCAAGGTCTACTAGATCCAAATATTCAAGGTAACGTGAATGTATCAATTCCTGCAGTCCTTTAATTACAGTAAAGTGCTTGAGGAAGTCACGTGGTCTGTAATGAAACACGTCGGGGTGGAGCTGGTGATGTCTTTGCACAAACATGGAAGTGGTTTCTTGCAGAGGTGTTACAATGCCATGTTCTTAACAGAGTTTTTTTTTTAGAAATTACACTTATATAGGTGGATGCAGCCAGTGGTGTATTTAGGTTTTGTGCTGCCCTAGGCAACACAAAAATTGTGCCTCCCCCCCCCCCTCAATGAGAGAGTGAGTAGGCTCAATGAGTAGGTGTGTGTATACAGTATATGATTCTCTCTCTCTTTCCTCTCTCTCTCTCCCCTACTAGAACATATTTCCCCCATTGCTCCTAGCAAATACCACCCCCCCTTCCCAAAATCCACATTACACTTCCTAGAAAAAGTGGAAAGAGTTGGGAGGAGGTGAGCTGTGTTGTGTTCTCTGGGCTCTCCCTCCTTTTGTCCATCCAGCACATGATACAGGATCACTGATAGATCGTATGGGAATGTATACACACACACAGTATGATTACCCCCCTCCTCCAAGGGCTTCTTATCCCCAGGCAGCAGGAAATGTGGGTAGGGGATGGTAATCATACTGTGTGTGTGCAGTCACATATGATCTATCAGTGATCGTGTATCATGTGCTGGATGGACGACAGGAGGGAGAGCCCAGAGAACACAACACAGCTCACCTCCTCCTGGCTCTTTCCTCTCCACCACTTCTCCTCTCCCTGCTCCAGGATTTAACCTGGTCCTGGCTCTGAGTGCGGGCGGGGGAAGAAGCTCAGCGGAGAGCGGTCACTCAGGGCACCCACTCCACCCGGCCAGGTCTGTCTCTCCCACCAGCAGCAGAAAGCTGACGGGAGGGAGAGAGGGAGAAACTGGATTTCAGCTGCTGGAGGGAGAGATACACAGTGCATCCTTCTGCAACTGCTCTCCCCCACCACACTGATCCTCCTGCTGTCCGGGCCACCTACAGAACTGGTGGAACCCCTCATATGGCAGCCCTGCATGGCTCTTTCCGCCGCTGCTCAACAGGTCCCTTCTTATGGGGGCGGGCGGTGTCACCCCCCTAAAAATTGCCACCCTAGGCAAACGCCTTGTTTGGCTCATGGTAGATACGCCCCTGGATGCAGCACAGGTGCAATGCTGCCTCTATCCCCCACCAGCTCTATAACTGAGAACTGCTTGATCAAAGACTGCTAATCACTCATTTCTCAGTGCTCCGTGAGCAGAGAGCTGGTGACTGTTAGTCGCACTGCTCTCTGCTCCCCCCACCCCCACTCCGCTCACTGCAGTGCTGGACTGTTGAGGGGGTGGGAACGGCTATATATATTATAGGTTAATTTCTCCAGGTGAACAGATTGTGTAGGAGATTTACTAAAACTGGTGCACTCAGAATCTTGCGCAGCTGTGCATGGTAGCCAATCAGCTTTCTGGTTTAAGCCCTGGTTCACACAAGTGTAACTTGTCATGTGACTTGACAGTTCAAACTTGCAAGATAAGTCGCACCCTATTAGTGGCAATGGAACCACTCAAGTCACAGCGGCTTTCAATAAGGTTCCTGCACTATTTCTGGGCAACTTGCATTGACATCTGTTAAATGAAGTTGCACAAATGTCAGCGAGCTGCACATGAAATCACACTGATAGTCAGCTTTAGGCCTGCAAACACGGCATTCTTTGCAGCTGCTTTCGGAGGCTTCAGGCGTTTTTTTTTTTTACTGCTTCCAAATGGCCTTCTGTTATCCATTGTGCCCATGCACACAGACTTTTAGTAGCAGTAGCGTTTACCAGCAGGAAAAAAAAAAAAAGGCCAGTGTGTCCAGAGCAGCGGCATTTTTGCAGAAAAAAAGCTTGATGTGGCTATACGCATCTAAATGCTAGGCGCGGGGGGTGTAGTAGTGCAGATGCCGACACCCCCACTGGATGAGCTTCAGCTTCATACAGCAACAAAAGTATAAAAAGTGGAAAATGGTGGAGCATTTAAGCGGAGGAAAATGGGGCAGTGGAGGGAGGGTTGCAGGCAAAGGCCATAGCTGAAGAGGGGTGAAAGTGAGATGTGGATGGGGGATGCAGAGGTAAGCAGCTGTGGAAGATGTTTGAACTCTGCATTCTGTGTGTAGCGCGCTCCTGAACTCTGCACTCTGTATGCAGCACACCTCTAAACCCTGCACTATGTATGTAGCGCACACCTGAACGCTGTACTACGTACAAAGCGCACCCCTGAACTCTGCATACAGCACACCTCTGAACCCTGCACTCTGTATGTAGCACACCCTTGAACTCTGCACTCTGTATGCAATGCACCTCTGAACCCTGCACTATGTACATAGCACACCCCTGAAATCTGTGATCTGTATGCAGTGCACTCAACTCTGCACTCTGTATGCAGCACACCTCAGAATCCTGCACTATGTATGTACCGCACCCCTGAACTCTGCATTCTGTATGCAGCACACTCCTCAACTCTGCACTCTGTATGCAGCACACCTGTGAACCCTGCACTATGTACGTAGCGCACCCCTGAACTCTGTGATCTGTATGCAGTGCACTCAACTCTGCACTCTGTATGCAGCCCACTTCTGAACTCTGTATGCAGCACACCTCAGAATCCTGCACTATGTATGTAGTGCACCCCTGAACTCTGCATTCTGTATGCAGCACACCCCTGAACTCTGTATGCAGTGGGCCTCTGAACCGTGCACTATGTACATAGCGCACCCCTGAACCCTGCACTATGTACGTAGCTCACCCCTGAAATCTGTGATCTGTATACAGTGCACTCAACTCTGCACTCTGTATGCAGCACACCTCAGAATCCTGCACTATGTATGTACCGCACCCCTGAACACTGCATTCTGTATGCAGCACACTCCTCAACTCTGCACTCTGTATGCACCACACCTGTGAACCCTGCACTATGTACGTAGCGCACCCCTGAACTCTGCATTCTGTATGCAGCACACCCCTGAACTCTGAATGCAGTGGGCCTCTGAACCCTGCACTATGTACAAAGCGCACCCCTGAACTCTGCAATATGTATGCAGCACACCCCTGAACCCTGCACTATGTATATAGCCTACCCCTGAACTCTGCAATCTGTATGCAGCACACTCCTGAACTCTATATGCAGCACAACCCTGAACCCTGCACTATGTACATAACCCACCCCTGAACTCTGCACTATGTACATAGCCCACCCCTGAACTCTGCACTATGTACATAAACCCACCCCTGAACTCTGCACTATGTACATAGCCCACCCCTGAACTCTGCAATGCTGAACTCTGCACTCTGTATGCAGTGCACCCCTGAACTGCAGTATGCAGTGCACCCCTGAACTCTGCATGCAGAACTCTGCACAGTCAACACAGTCTACTCTCTGTATGCAGCATACCTCTGAACCTTGCAATATGTACATAGCGCACCCCTGAACTCCGTATGCAGTGCACCTCTGAACCCTGCACTATGTACACAGCGCACCCCTGAACTCTGCACTCTATATGCAGCCAACTCCTGCACTCTGTATGCAGCGCACCTCTGAACCCTGCAGTCTGTATGCAGCGCACCCCTGAACCCTGCAGTCTGTATGCAGCGCACCCCTGAACCCTGCAGTCTGTATGCAGCGCACCCCTGAACTCTGTATGCAATGCACTCCTGGTAATGCCTCTTTAAGACCCTCCCACTGTGATTGTTAGTTAAATCTGGCCACGCCCACTATCAGAAGCGGTTTGGAGAGTGTGTGGGTTTGTGGTTGAGTTCCTGCCCTGGTTATAACAGTTGGACTATCCTGGCACGGTGACCCCAGCCCCATACATCAGAGTAGGCAAACTCCACACTCCAGCTGCTGCAGAACTACAAGCTCCATGAGGCTTTGCAAGACTCCCAGAGGCATGATGGGATATGTAGTTTTACCACAACTGGAGTGCTGAGGTTCCCGGCCCCTTCAATTAGGGTTGCCACCTCATTCCTTTACACCCGAACACATAATACACCGGTCCTGGGGCTGGTTGGTGGTAATTAAACTCAGTGCCTTATCTGCTTCAAATTAGCCTCAAAACCTGTGTAATTGTTCTGTGTATCCACATTTCAGACATTCTACTCCCTTCCAAACACTCCAGCAGAGGCAATGCTTAGGTGAGGACACCCCAGGTCCTGTGTGGGGTCTGCAGTCAGCGCTCATTCTACCTCAGTACAGCGCCCACTACACACCAATCAAACCTGCCGCCTTGTCCTAGTCTGTCCGCTCGTCACATGACCCAGCCAGGTCTCCGCCTAGCGCAGGTCACGTGAGGGTGATGTCACATGACGTCCTGTTCTCGGATGGCGGCGGCCGTGTGCTGAGTGGTGTGGTGTGTGTCCAGTCCGGGCTGTGATGGATAAAGACCTGGTCCGGCAATGTCTGAACTACCACGGCCCTGCCCTCCTGTCCTTACTGAAGTGCGAGCAGCATGAGCACGCCGGCTTCAAGCAGCTGCTGGGGGACCTGTCCAAGTGGCCGCAGTACAGGTAATGGGGGGGCTCGGAGGAGCGAACCTCCACTAGTCATGTGACCACACTGCAAGGGCGGGGGGTGTCAGCCTGTTCCCCCTTATGTTCCCACAGCTGTTGCATTAAAGTACATTTGAAGGAAAAACTTTTCCAGATATTTTAGATAGGACTCATCCCCACAGGTGGTCCAAGCAGCTGGATGAGCTGTGGTTTTACTGCCCCGCCCCCTGACCTCACCTAGAAGAAAGGCCTGACGTGTCACAGCTGCTACCAAAACTAAACAGCACGTCCCATTTAATAGTATGGACTGCACACAACCATGCGTTAATGCACACGCTTGCAGCAATCCCAGGGTTAAAACAGGCAATCTCACCTCCCTACTGCCTGCCAAATGTCTCTGAAAAGTGATCCACTGCACATTGATTTTCAGGGGGCCAGCACATGAATCTTCCTTAAAATGGTTCTGAAGGTATTTTACCTTCATGCATTCTATGCATGAAGGTAAAAAACTTTGTGTATAGCCCCCAGCCCATCCCAATCCTTACCTGAGCCACTTCCGATCCAGTGATTTTCACCACAGCCTCTGCTGTTGGTAGACTCTTCCTCCTCATTGGCTGAAACAGCAACGGGAGCCCATTGTCTCCCACGTCTGTCAATCACAGCTAGTGAGCCAATGAGGAGGGAGTGCGAGGCAGGGCCCAGACACAACTCTTTGTGTCTTATGGATGCAGAGAGCAGCAGCTTAGGGGCAAGCATGCATCGGTGCTCCCAGGGCGAGCAACTTTCCCTGGGGGCACTGCTTGAGGAGGAGGAGCCAGGAGTGCTGAAAGGGACCTGAAAAGAGGAGGATCGGGGCTGCTCTGTGCAAAATCATTGCACAGATCAGGTAAGTATAGACATGTTTGTTATTTTAGAAAAAAAAAAAAAAGCTTTAGGCCCCAGGGATGTGGAAATGTTTAAAAAAAAAAAAAAAAAATTGTCTAAAGACTAAATCGGGGTGCCGCCTTCAGTCAGGGCCTGCGCCTTCAGTCAGGGCTCTGCGGGGTGCCGCCTTCAGTCAGGGCTCTGCGGGGTGCCGCCTTCAGTCAGGGCTCTCAGTCAGGGCTCTGCTGCTAAATGAACATGAAATTGTTAAGTGTGAAGCTCTTGGAAGAACAAGGAGGGGGGAGGTAGATAAGGAGAGAAGAGTAAGAGGTGGGGAAAGCTCCATGATAGAGCAGAGATTGCTCATCCCCAGGCTGCTCGCTCAGACATTGGCAATCATACAGCCGGAGGGATCTTCAAATTTCCCACCCACTGGGCAGTCTCGGAGGAGAGGAGTGGGAAGAGGTGGAGCGAAACGTAATCTCTCTCCTCTCCCGTCCATGCAGGGAAGGAGGGTGGAAGTGTGCTGTATGAACGAGTGTCACTGACACTGAGTGCACAGCTGCAGCCTGTCCGCCCTGGACTTTACCAGTCGTTTTCTTAAGCAAGCCCTGCTGCTTCCCCGCAGCAGGGCTAAATGTAAGGAAAAACAACCTGCCCAGTGCCTGGAACTACATGTCCCAGGCATCGGGCGATAGGATTTGCACATCCTTGGGCCCCTTTCACATGACCGTTTTGTATGTCCATTTTTCTTCTTGCCGTCTATGGATGAAAAACGGACACCCATGTATTTCTGTGGACTAGCGTGTGTAAATTGATGATCATCTGTTTACATCTGTTAATGTCTGCATCTGTTAACATCCGTTTTCTTTAACAGAGGAAAACTGTATTTTTCTTGTTATGAAAAAAATGGATGTAAACGGACAAAACGGGTGAAAAGCCGATGTAAACAGACAAAAAATGGACGAAAAACGGATGTGAACTGATGAAAAACTGATCTGTTTTTATTCCTGGAAAAAACATGACCTGATGAAAAAAACAGAACGCCCGTGTGAAAGGGGCCTTAGTATCACTTTAATGAGGACTATATTTCCTGTAGCTTTTCTTTTCGTCATCTGTGTCCCATTGGAGAGATTTCCCTTCCTGTCCCATAGCACCATCGGGCACAACGTGTGCAGCTGTCTGAATAACCGAACATTGACCATTCGTTTCATTTGGAATGCAGCAGCTGTACAGCCACTGCTCCCAATTCAACATCTGTATGTGTGCGCTGGTGTGTGACCCTGAACGTGCACTGGCTTTGTTCATGGACACACACACATGAGGATGTCAAATTGGGAGCAGAGGCTGTGTCTGTGCAGCTACTATGACTCAACTGACATGAATGGTCATTGCGGGACTGTGTGCATGAAATGCCTGTGTATCACACGCAGGCAAAACACCAGTACGCTTAAAACTGCACTGCATCTGAGCACCACAAACCAAAAATGCAATATTATTAATATTCAAAACAAACTCCATCCATCTATGCCTCTGTGCTTTTATTTTGCTGAGAAATCATTTTGAAAAAGACCCTGACATTTCTGGCTGTGGCCATCTTGAGTAAGGGCTGATGATTCATGTAGCAGTTACTTTCTGGAATCTATCTCTCCTTAGCTCAGGCACTGGCTGAGCTGAGATCCCTCCCTCCCCTCCTGAAGACTCCTGGGATGTATGACTTCATTTGCCTAGACATGGAAACCAGGAAGTAAATAAAGGAATGCAAAAATTAATGGTTTAGGACAAGTAAATATGATATGCTTTCCTATCTATTTACTAATGCTAGCAATATAAGGATTAGAAATATTCCGTGATGATTGAGAGTGAAGTTCTGCTTTAAGTATATATGTGAACAAGGCTTAATGGGAACACAGACATCAATAAAAAGACTGACATGGGTTCTCTCCCCTCACCACTTTTAAAGTGGTTTTAAAGGCTGAAGGTTCTTTTTTGTTTTTTTTTTTACCTTCATGTATTCTATGCATGAAGGTTAAATCCTTGAGGCTACGTTCACACAATACATGCAGAAAAAACTGCTGGAAATGGATGTGTATATTTAACTTGCACAAACACCAGTTTATATTAGTTTTCATGCGCTCTTCAGTGAGTTTTATACACATTGCGGATTCCTGTGCAGAAAAAAATCTGCACGAGATACCAGTGTTGTGGAGTGAATAGGCACATAGAGAACAATTGATTTTGATGTACCGTATTTTCCGGCGTATAAGACGACTGGGCATATAAGACGACCCCCTACTTTTCCTGTTAAAATATAGGGTTTGAGCTATACTCGCCGTATAAGACTACCCCTCTTCCAACGCACACCAAATAAAAATGAAAAAACATCAGATTTGATTTCAATATGGTATGCTATTTCAGTATGGTATTCCAATGATGGGGTGCTATTCCTCCCACTGACACCAATGATGAGGCACTACTCCTCCCACTGACACCAATGATGGGGCACTATTTCATCCACTGACACCAATGATGGGGCACTATTCCTCCCACTGATACCAATGATGGGATACTATTCCTCCCACTGACACCAATGATGGTGCCCCATCATTAGTGTCAGTGTGTGAGGAATAGTGCCCCATCATTAGTCAGTGGGAGGAATAGTGCCCCATCATTGGTGTCAGTGGGAAGAATCGTGCCCCATCATTGGTGTCAGTGGGAAGAATCGTGCCCCATCATTAGTGTCAGTGTGTGAGGAATAGTGCCCCATCATTAGTCAGTGGGAGGAATAGTGCCCCATCATTGGTGTCAGTGGGAAGAATCGTGCCCCATCATTGGTGTCAGTGGGAAGAATCGTGCCCCATCATTGGTGTCAGTGGGAGGAATAGTGTCCCATCATTGGTGTCAGTGGGAGGAATAGTGTCCCATCATTGGTGTCAGTGGGAGGAATAGTGGCCCCATTGGTGTCAGTGGGAGGAATAGCGGCCCATCATTGGTATCAGTGGGAGGAATAGCACCCCATCATTGGTGTCAGTGGGAGGAATAGCACCCCATCATTGGTGTCAGTGGGAGGAATAGCACCCCATCATTGGTGTCAGTGGGAGGAATAGCGCCCCATCATTGGTGTCAGTGGGAGGAATAGCGCCCCATCATTGGTGTCAGTGGGAGGAATAGCGCCCCATCATTGGTGTCAGTGGGAGGAATAGCGCCCCATCATTGGTGTCAGTGGGAGGAATAGCGCCCCATCATTGGTGTCAGTGGGAGGAATAGCGCCCCATCATTGGTGTCAGTGGGAGGAATAGCGCCCCATCATTGGTATCAGTGGCAGGAATTGCGCCCCATCATTGGTGTTAGTGGGAGGAATAGCGCCCCATCATTGGTGTCAGTGGGAGGAATTGCGCCCCATCATTGGTGTCAGTGGGAGGAATTGGCCCCATCATTGGTGTCAGTGGGAGGAATTGCGCCCCATCGTTGGTATCAGTGGGGAGAATAGTGCCCCATCGTTGGTGTCAGTGGGGAGGAGGAATAGTGCCCCATCGTTGGTGCCAGTGGGGAGGAGAAGTAGTGCCCCATCATTGGTATCAGTGGGGAGAATAGTGCCCCATCATTGGTGTCAGTGGGGAGGAGGAATAGTGCCCCATCGTTGGTGTCAGTGGGAGAATAGTGCCCCATCATTGGTATCAGTGGGGAGAATAGTGCCCCATCATTGGTGTCAGTGGGAGGAATAGTACCCCTTCATTGGTATCAGTGGGATGAATAGTGCCCCATCATTGGTGTCAGTGGGAGGAGGAATAGTGCCCCATCATTGGTATCAGTGGGAGGAATAGTGCCCCATCATTGGTATCAGTGGGATGAATAGTGCCCCATCATTGGTATCAGTGGGATGAATAGTGCCCCATCATTGGTGTCAGTGGGATGAATAGTGTCCCATCATTGGTATCAGTGGGAGGAATAGTGTCCCATCATTGGTATCAGTGGGAGGAATAGTGCCCCATCATTGGTATCAGTGGGAGGAATAGTGCCCCATCATTGGTGTCAGTGGGGGAGGACGAATAGTGCCCCATCATTGGTATCAGTGGGGAGAACAGTGCCTCATCGTTGGTGTCAGTGTGGAGGAGGAATAGTGCCCCATCATTGGTGTCAGTGGGGAGGAGGAATAGTGCCCCATCATTGGTATCAGTGGGGAGAACAGTGCCTCATCGTTGGTGTCCGTGGGGGAGGAACAGTGCCTCTTCGTTGGTGTCAGTGGGGGAGAGGAGCGGCTGCTCCTTCTTCCAGTTCAGCCGCTCGATTTTCGCGGGGGCCGCTCGGCTCCGCCTCCTCGCCGGTGATTGGTCGCCTGTGTGCCTTTCCAGTGCTGGCGCCCAATCACCGGTAAGGAGGCGGAGCCGAACGGCCGCGTGACCATTGAGCGGCCGAACTGAAAGAAGGAACAGCCGCGCTTCCTGGACCGATCGTCGTGGGACCGGAGCCAGGTAAGGTACAGCAGCCTCTCTGCCCACCCCTGTACTTAGTGTCCGTTGGAGGAGGAGGGGGGGGGCGGTGCGGCGCCGCGCCGCCCCTCGAAAAAGTGCCGCCCTGACACCTGGCGCCGGCTCGCACCGGCGTATAAGACGACCCCCGACTTTTCAGAAGATTTTCAGGGGTTGAAAAGTCGTCTTATACGCCGGAAAATACGGTAATTGCACGCTTTGATGCCATTGCAGAACACGTACAGAAAAACTGACGTCTCTACACCCTCAGTGTGCAGTGCCCCCTGTAATGCTTACCTGAGCCCAGTCGATCTGGCTGCCTCCTCATTGGCTACTGTCAATCAGCAGTGAGGACCCTATAGCTCTCCTCTGCCCTTGTACTTGCGCCACTGGATTTTTGTACTTGTGTCACTGGAGTTTTGGTGGTTATATCAGGAAGTGATGAGCATTTCAAGATCGGTGTGATCAGATGCTTTCCCGTTTTTAAAAATGGAGATGTTTATATCCGGGAAAACTGGAAGTGAATGCTCATCGCTCCGGTTTTCTATATCGCAGAGGTGATCAGAGCTGATCCGGCCACTGATTACCTCTATGATAAGCCGTTGGAGGCACCCGCTCAGGTTTTGGTGGGATGGGAGAGCCCGACAGAGCCACAGGAGGGAGGGGGATGTCCCCTCTCACTACTTGTAAAAGCAATCCAGTGACTATTTAGCTGCTTGGACTGCTTTTATATTGGCTCTTAAACAAAAAAAAATACCAGGATGATGCCTGCAGCCATCATCCTGGTGTAACCACCAAAAGTCCAGCGACGTACGTCCGCAAGTGGTTACATTGACTCATTAATGTCTGTTGCAATCATCTCCTCCTTGCTTGTGTTGTGTTATCATTCTCCCAAGTACCAAGTTACAATGTTACAATTTCAGCATATGAAGAACAATGCAATACATAGAATATTTACATCAAAGTCAGGATATATTGTAGTATGGCCTATTATCAGCAGTAGGTCCTTACATCCAAAGAAAACCTGTGTTGGCATATCAGGAACGGAACAAATATAAAGAATATCTAGAGAAACATTATGTTTGGTAAAGGCCGAAGTCTCATTCCTGTAATGGAGGGAAGAATGCATTATGGGGATAGGTATATGCTGGATAAAGCATGGGTCAGGGAAGGCGGCCCTGCAGCTGTTGTCAAACTACAAGTCCCATGTTGCATTGCAAGATTGACAGTTACGAGCATGACTCCCAAAGGCAGAGGCATGATGGGACTTGTAGTTTTGCAACAGCTGGAGGGACACCAGTTTGACACCCCTGGATTAGAGTGGAAGGAGGCAGGGCATACCTCCTCCTATCCAAATAGAAAGGGGGGGAAGAGTGTGTTTTACAATAGTCACTGTATTAGGGGTGCTCTATGTATAAAGGAGAGTCTTGCGTGCCTGAACTCATTTCCAGTAAGATCCATTCCATGTGGAGAGTCTAACCCTTAAAGTGTTTTAGAAAAGTTATTATTTTGGAAGCATGTGTGACTTTATCCTTCTAGTAACCTTGAAAACTGTTAATGTTTAAAACCGTTGTTTGGTCACAGCATATGCTTTCATTTCATAAGATCAACATTATAATTTTGTGTTGTCCTTTCATGTTGTGAGTTCTGCCATTCCATGGCCATCTCTTTCCACAGGTTCTTGGATTCCCTGAATGTTTTTTAGCTTCTCCGCTACTGTTTATTTTCCATTTCTAAGGACTACATATCCCATGGCACCTTGCTGCCTGCAAACAGTGATTCCTGTATTGACTCCACCTCCTGAAACTCCTCTCTCAGAGCCTCCCGTAGTTCAGAAGGCAGACTGTGAAAACGCTGTGTGAAAAAGAAAAAAATGGGAATGTGGCACTATCACAATTTAATATATACTAGATCTCAAAATTATTGTGAAATATTATATAATAGCCAAAATTAAAAATCTCAAACAGTCTAAAGTTAAACTTTATAATTTCAGCACCATACATGTGAAAGCCCATCTTCACCTAATTTGTTAATCCTTTTTTTTTATTTTTTTAAGAACTATACAGTTGGGCAAAAAAGTATTTAGTCAGCCACCAATTGTGCAAGTTCTCCCACTTAAAAAGATGAGAGAGGCCTGTAATTGGCATCACAGGTAGACCTCAACTATGAGAGACAAAATGAGAAAAAAATCCAGACAATCAGATTGGCTGATTTGGAAAGAATTTATTTGCAAATTATGGTGGAAAATAAGTATTTGGTCACCTACAAACAAGCAAGATTTCTGGCTCTCACAGACCTGTACCTTCTTCTTTAAGAGGCTCCTCTGTCCTGCACTCATTACCTGTATCAATGGCACCTGTTTGAACTTGTTATCAGTATAAAAGACACCTGTCCACAACCTCAAACAGTCACACTCCAAACTCCACTATGGTGAAGACTAAAGAGCTGTCGAAGGACACCAGAACCAAAATTGTAGACCTGCACCAGGCTGGGAAGACTGAATCTGCAATAGGCAAGCAGCTTGGTGTGAACAAATCAACTGTGGGAGCAATAATTAGAAAATGGAAGACATACAAGATCACTGTATATGGGAAAAATTAGATACTTTTGCTAGATTGGAGAGATTGCAGCACATTTCTTGACTTGTATGAGTTCCCCCACTCTGTCCCAAAAAAATTTTGGCTGGAGTTGGGCTGCTTATTAGGAAAGGTAATCTTTTGAGGAAATAGAAAACTTCTGGCCTAGAGTTGCAACTCACACACCATGCACCATTTGGAGAAGCAGTCTTGTCACCCTGAAAATTAGGGTGACAATATTGTCAAAACAAATGAAACGAAATGCATTCAGTGGTATATTTAACATGCTAGAAAGTATATAAAGCTGTTTTATACACTTTTAAAAATAGAAAAAACTTGCAATGAAAAGGGTCATTAGTGCTAGGCTAAATGATATTCAGGTTGCGTTTTTGTGAATGGCCAAACAAAGGCAGGGGGGGAGACATGTCTCCAGTGCTGGTATTTATCATATATGTTGTGCTGAAAGTGGAACTTTACCTAAAAAAAATTAAAATTGGCAGGAATTTTAAAGCAGAAGAGATTTGCTTTGTCTTCTCTGAATTAGTTACTTACCTTCCTCACTGTACAAATTTGCCCATGCCGAATCTGACGGAACTCCCGCGCACGCATGAAAGTGACATATGTGGGTAGCAGAGGGACACTGCATCGCCTGGAACTGAGGTGAGTATGGGGGGGGGGGGGGGGTTAGTGCAGTGGCAGCTTTGCTGTTCGGTGCAAAATGAAGGCAATTAAATATTTTTACCTGTTTGGAATTTGCCTGTTCTCACTGTGCTTGTGTGGGTTTCCTCTGGGTTCTCCAGTTTCCTCCTATAGTACACTCTGAAGAAATGCTTGTAGGGTAATTGGCTCTTGTCTAAATTGGCCCTAGTATTTGTATGTATGTGAGCTAGGGACCTTAGATTGTATGCTCCTTGAGGGCAGGGACCGATTTGTAGGTAGTATATAAATTTTACTGTATAAATTGTCGGAGCTATATAAATACCTGTGCTAAATACATGACATTTGTATAGAAGCATATTTATTATATGAATCAGATAAAAAAAGTGTGTAAAAGATGTGTAGCGTTCCACATCTGTTGTGTGGTTTTACTTCAAGACTCTTTCAGAAAGCCCAGTCTCACAAATTCGACCTACTATGCATTTATTTTGAAGGCAAGTTATCCACTGTGACTGTGGCAGCGTGTTGTCCTTTTTTTATGACTGATGTTTTCCATGTTGGCTTTGCTTGATCTAAAGCTGGCCACTTGAAATTTGCCCAGTTCAGCAGGGAGCAGCTGAATTTCGATCCATCAATGGCTGCCATGGTTGTACAGGAGTCAATATACCGTTTGACTTATATAGCCTGCAGCAGTGGTACACTGAAATGAAAATTCAGGATGCACCTGACCGAAAACCGAAACGGATAGTTTTTTTTTTTAATTTTTTAAAAATGTAATTAATGTGGCTGTCAATTTTGCATTGAAGTCACTAGGGGGTGTTTTTTGCATGAACGTCTATGAGATGCAACTTCACATGTATCGGCACCATTATCTGCAAAATTCAGATAACATTTTTCGGCCAATATGTCGGTGCATCCCTAACCGTCAGCATTGAATGCTATATTACGATGTTGGGGAAGTCTCCCTATTTTCTGAATGCAATAGTTCAGCAGTAAGGATTTCCCCATCCACCTCCGATATATGGATCGGGGAAACTAGTCTGTTTTTTTTTTTTTTTTTTTTTTCAAACCGCTGGTTGATTAGGTAAAAAAAAAATGGCTAATATATGGGGCTGCGTAACATGGAGATTCTTGATTAGAGACTTGATCTATTAAGTCGTGAAATGCATTAGCCAGAGAAGTCCCAATATTAATTTGCTATTTTTTGTCTTTTTTTTTTTTTTTTTTTTTTTTTTTTTTTTTTAGGAAGGAGAGAAATCTTGAGAATATTGAAATTCAACAGTTTATTGCAAGGAAAGCTGATCTTCTGTTTTCCGAGTCCTGGAAGTCCACTTTACAAGAAAATACTGAGTCACATGAACCAGCAGAAGGTACTGTTGTGTTTTATATATTTTTGAACAATTTAAACAGATTACAAGTGGTGTATGCAATGGTAAGAATGTTAAAAATTACACATTTAAAAAGTAGTTAAAATAAACCCAGGCAACCACTTCAGCTATCACCCATCTACAGCCTTTGTACATATTTTTTAATGGCAATACTTTATTTTCTTGATATTGTCTTGCAAAAACGTTTTGTGCAATCCATAATTAAAAAATGTAAACTGGTATTTTAGATACAAATTATACAATTTATTTTAAAATATTATTTTTGTTTATAGTGGTTCTAAAGGCTGAAAGTTTTTTACCTTCATGCATACTATGCTTGAAGGTTAAAAAACCTTCAGTGTGCATCTCCCCCCCTCAGCCCCCCCTAATACTTACCTGAGCCCACTCGCGATCCAGCTCTGTGCACAAGAGCTTTGGGTCTCTCACTTCTCATTGGCTGAGACACAGCAGTGGGAGCCATTGGCTCCAGCTGCTGCCAATCGCAGCCAGTGAGCAGGACACTAGGCAGGAGGGAGGGTCAGGAGCGCTGGTGGGGGACCTGAGAAGAGGAGACTCAAAGACTTGCACAGAGCAGGCAAGTATGACATGTTTGTTGCTTTAACCAGTTCCCACCTGGCCAATAGCAAAATGACTGCTGAGCAGGACTCTTATCGATCCCGGGTGGTTGTCACTTGACGTCCTCCCGAATCGCACATGCACGGGGGGAAGGGGGGGGGGCGGCGGCGAGATCTATCATTGGCTGTGTCCCTAGGACAAAGCCAATGGCAGATGTGTGTACTGGCCTGTTGCCAATACCTTGTGACCGCTGTGACCAATCACAGCAGGTCACATGAAGATTGTAAATAACGAATGGCTTTCTTTCCTGCCATCCATTGTGTACAAGTGTGTCACTAGCTGTGATTGGTCACAGTAATGGCATGGTACAGACTGGGCCAATCACAGCCCATCTGTGTCATGTGATTAGCTGTGGACAATCACAGCTAATCAAAACAAAAAAAACCTGAATCGATTTCATTCAGTTAAATGCTTGCTTATAACAATGAAATACTTTGCTAAAAGCAATCATAATGTGTAAAAAAAAAAAAGAAAAAAAAGTTAACATAGTATTTTTATTATCATAAAAAAAGGAAATAAAATACCTTTTTTTTTTTTTTTTTTTTTTTTTTTTTTTTTTTTTTTTTTTTACTGTCACTGTCCCTGATCAACGCCATACCAGTTATATGATGATGCTTTAATGCACTGGGGGCAGTATGTATATATCAAAAATAATTAAAACTTTTTTTTTTTTTTCCAAAAGATGACGACAAAAAATTACAACTTCAAAAAACGTGCCATGCCTCCTACTAAATACCTCGGGCTGTTTGCAAAAAGGGGTCATTTGGGGGATATCTGTGCTGTCCCTAATATTTTTGGGCCTCAAGAAATTAGATTGTCAGTACTTCAGGATTGATTGACTTTCAGGCTTATACCATAGTTTGTGGACTTTAGAACATACATCTTGGCCTAAATTTATGAAGAAGAATTATTTATTTGCAAAATTTGATGACGAAGAAAAACGTTTTATGTTTTTTTTTTTTTTTTTTTTTTTTTAATTTTTTACTCTTTTCTTTTCATTAGCAAAAAATAGAAAACCAAGTGGTGATTATATACCACCAAAGAAAGCTCTAGTTGTGTGAACAAAATGATAAAAATTTAGTTTGGGTACTGAGCGTTGCATGACCATGTAATTGTCATTCAAAGTGCGAGAGCACTGAAAGCTGAAAATTGGCCTGGGCAGGAAGAAGGGGACGCAAGTGCTCAGTATTGAAGTGGTTAATTAAAAAAAAAAAAAAAAAAAAGCAGCTTTACAACCACTTTAATTTATACATAAGAAATTATAAGTATCTGAAAAGAAAATATTCAAATAACAATTTGGCAGCTTACTCTGGTCACACAGGACACTATTGCTATAGTAATGCTAAAAGGAAAAGAAGACTACCAGATCACTCCTCCCTCATTCTACAGTTTGACCTGGTTAAAATGGTACTGAATTATGACAAAGCATTGCACAATGATATATATTCTGTATATATAGTGTGTGTGTGTGTGTGTGTGTGTGTGTGTGTGTGTGTGTGTGTGTGTGTATATCACACACTGCTCAAAAAAAATGAAAGGAACACTTTTTGAAAACACATCTGATCTCAATGGAGAACAATATGCTGGATATCTATACTGATATGGACTGGGTAATGTGTTAAGAACGTAATGATGCCCCGTTTGATGGAAATGAAAATTATCAACATACAGAGGACTGAATTCAAAGACACTCCAAAAAGCAAAGTTAAAAAATGATGCAGCAGGCTAGTCCATTTTGATGAAATTTCATTGCAACAACTCAAAATGGTCCCCAGTAGTTTATGGCCCCGCGTGCTTGTATGCATACCTGACAATGTCGGGGCATGCTCTCATGTGTGAAAAGCACAGGGCGCCAGTGGTGGACCTGCCATTTCTGGTGTTCAGTGGCAAATGACAATTGAGCCCTATGGTGCTGGGCAGTGAAAACAGGGCCCACTAGAAGACGTCGGGCCCTCAAGCCACCCTCATGAAGTCTGTTTCTGATTGTTTGGTCAGAGACATTCACACCAGTGGCTTGCTGGAGGTCATTTTGTAGGGCTCTGGCAGTGCTCATCCTGTTCCTCCTTGCACAAAGGAACATTTACCATCCTGCTGTTGGGTTAAGGACCTTCTACAGCCCTGTCCAGCTCTCCTAAAGTAACTGCCTGTCTCTTGGAATCTCCTCCATGCTCTAGAGACTGTGCTGGGAGACACAGCAAACCTTCTGGCAATGTATTGTATGTGATGTGCTGGAGGAGTTGGACTGCCTGTGCAACCTCTGTAGGGTCCAGGTATCGCCTCATGCTACCAGTAGTGACATTGACCCTAGCCAAATGTAAAACTAGTGAAAAACAGTCAGAAAAGATGAGTAGGGAAAAAAATGTCAGTGGCCTGTAAAACCAATCTTGTTTTGGGGGTAGTCTCATTGTTGCCCATCTAGTGCACCTGTTGTTAATTTCATTAACACCAAAGCAGCTGAAACTGATTAACAACCTCTGCTACTTAACTGACCAGATCAATATCATAAGAGTTTAACCTCTTCACGCCGGCTGAACACAAATGTGTGGCCTCCTGGCCTGGACGCCAAGCGGCTGCACATTTGTGTTCTATTAAAAAAGAACATATGTGCTGAGAGCGCGCGCCCTGCGCGCTCCCAGCACACATGTCTGGTACTCATGGAAAGGTCCCGATCGCCTCTTTCGATCAGGACCTTTCCCGATCATGTGACCGCCGTGACGGCGTGTCATGGCGGTCATATGACCCTAAACCCCACCACCAATCGGCCTCTGAAACCCTTAAAAAGCCGGGAGGTGCCGGTGCGAAGGGATTAATTGACTTAATGCTATACTCCTGATTAAATAGTGTGTTTTCATTTTTTTGAGATGTGTGTATGTGTGTGTGTGTGTATGTGTATATATGTATATATATATGTGTGTATATATGTATATGTGTGTGTATGTGTGTATATATATATACATAATACATATACACACACACACACACACCAAGTGGCCAGTATTCACTCTACCACTCTAAATCACATCACACTATAACATTAATTGTGTAAACAGCCCTGATAGCAGACATATTGAATTGAGTCCATCAATTAGACCAGATATGTGCCCAATGTATATCTTATTCTTGCTTGTTCTCCTCCACACAATGCAAAGCACAAGCAAGAATAAGGTACATATCACGTTTAGGCACATATCTGGTCTAATTGATGGACTTAATTCAATATGTTTGCCTTTGGGCTGTTTACACTGTTAATGTTATGGAGATTGTGATTTAGAGTGGTATAGTGTATAGCTCCCGATTGGTATATTTATGATATAATTCTAGAAGTGTAACTTACACTTAAAGGGGCAGCTTAACTTTAAAATTGACAAGGGGTTATTGCGGTCATGTGGAGTGTGTAGAGGAAAGCGCTTCCAACATTTTGTTTTTCATTTTAATTTTTTTTTTTTTTATAAAGGTGAACACTAGGCTTCTGTGTGTGCAAAGATATATTGACATAGGAACGACACACCTAGATTTGTAACATTTAATTTGGTTATAAAGCGTAAACATTTTTTACCTTAATGCATTTCTTGCATTAAGATAACAAATGTTAGGCATCAGAATCTCCCCCACATCCCCCCCCTTTTTACTTACCGGAGCTCTCATTCGATCCAGCACTGCACGTTTGCAGCTCTTCTCTCCCCTCGTTTCCTGGTCACTGGCTTTGCTGAGGCAGCAGGAACCATTGGCTCCAACTGCTATCAATCAAAGCCACGGACAAGGGAGCAAGGGGTGAGGCTGAGTCCCAATGCCTGTGTCAATGGATACAGACAGCGAGGCTCGGGAGCAAGTCTGCACAAGTGCGTCTTCCTATGTGGGCACTTGGCAGAGGGGAGGAGCCAGGAGCTCCGTCAGTGGAACTCAAGAAGAGGTGATTCGGGGCTGCCCTATGCAATTCCATTGCAGAGAGCAAGGAAGTATAAAATTGTGATTTTACAAAAGAAACGAAGCATTTACAATCACTTTAATAGTGCAATATAATGGCCATACCAAAAAAAAAAAAAAAAAAAAGAGGGGGGTTGGGGAATTGGGGGATATACACACACTAATTTTTTTTTTTTTTTTAATAATTCAAGGGTGCCCATATTTTTGGCCATTACTGTACTTACCTGCTCTGTGCAATGGTTTTGCACATAGAGGTCCCAATAATCTTCTTCTTGTGTCCCCTCCCAGCGCTTCTGTCTTTTTGCTGCTTGCTATGGGGGCACTCTTGTGGGGGTATGCTCCTGAACCATCTCTGTGTGTCCATAGACACACAGTGTGTGACTCGGGCCCTGTCCCCCCAACTCACTCCTCACTGGCAGTGGAAGCCAATGCTGTCTCTAAACCTCTAAAGGAGGGAGAGAGCCGCTGCGCTCGTTCACAGCACTGGATTGAGCTCAAGTAAGTGTGGGGTGGGGGGGCTGGGGAGCTGCACTTAGAAGGTTTTTAACCTTAATGCAGTGAATGCATTAAGGTAAAAAAGAAAACCTTCAGCCTGTACAACCAGTTTAACTATTTGTTGCAAATGTTAATGAAGGTTAATTTGCACTTTTACTTTTTTTTTTTTGTCTTGGCCACATGTACACCTATTCTGGAACTTTAGCTCTTGACCACCATGCAAGACTGGGTACAGGAACTTTCTTTGATTAAAATGGAACACCTGGTGGCCTATCATATATTACCCAAGATCAGTTTAGTATTGGGGCTGGATTCACTACATGAGCATCATGGAGTTTTGTACAGCAATATGCTGAGCTCCTTACTAGCATAGGACTGCTGATACATCTCTTGGAAGCCCTGAAAGGAACCGGAGACTGCCATAGCCATATCCTAGACCTGGAGCTGTATGGAACTTGTATAAACAATGAGAATTAAGATGTATTATGGCACTGTCTCAAGTGTCACATGCAACAGTTTTGATATCTGGCATTGCAGTATGTGAAACAGAAGTCTAATCTTTCTTTAATTGGACTAGAAGTATAACTTGTTTAATTGATGTATGGTTAACATATTTTTCAAAATATTTTACTTCCTCTGTTACAGGTTGTTATGCTGTCATGCCACCTTTGGAACAGTTCATGGAGGTTCCCAGTGGGCAGAAGAGAGAACTGTTTTTTCGAGATCTTGAACGGGGAGATGTTGTAATTGGAAGGATAACTTCTATTCGTGACTTTGGATTTTTTGTAGTTCTTATCTCTATGGGCAGTGGCATTTTAAGAGATATAGAAACGCTAGAAATAAGTGTAAGCATAGAAGTAAAACATTGAATATACATTTGCATTTTATTTTAGGAGACTATTTTAAGTTGAACACTTTTTGCATTTTCTTTCTACTAGGCATTGTGTCCTGTAAGAGATGTGCCTTCTCAGAGTAGCCACGGAGATCCCTTGTCTTATTATCAAATGGGAGACCTAATCAAAGGTAATTTTAATTTTTGGAAATATTGTGACTAGGGATTATTAAATTTTGAATTAGCTGGTGGCTTATTCATGTACCCCATCTGGAAAAAAAACTAACATTATTAGCAAAATTCCACTATGGATTTTTACACTACCAAATCACAAATTAGTCCTAGTAAAACAGTTTTTTTTTTTTTTTTTTTCTACCCAAATGGTAAAATCAGTTTAAGATTTATTACTTTTAAAACAATGTTTGATACAGTAGTTTACTGACTTCCTATTGCCTCTCTGCCTAATAATCCATCAGTTACCCACTGATTTAATGGTTCAGTATAACTATATGTGATTTCTCAATGCCTTAACATGTTATCACACCACATGTGGAGACACAGTGGACGTGTTCTCTACGTGTTTTGTGGGCGCAGGATAGCCCGCTACCTCAGGAGGGCATCAGGGGTGAATCTATAAGCAATCAAATATAATTTTATAAATTTATAGTCCACATTCATTGTTTACACATTCTCCAACCCGTCAAAGCGAAACTTCACCTATCTGTTTATGGGAGCACAAGAGAAATAGAGGAAAATCGATTGAATATGCAGTTTTCAAACCCAAAACCACTGTAGGCTGTTAAATGAGATTACATAATATAATTAACCCCAAATTTTTACCTATTTCTCGTTGATATACTTACCATAGTCACTGTCATGCATAAAGAAAGCTACACTTGGTCCACTGTGTCGCCAGGCAGAGGTGGAAAAAGAAGTCAGTAGAGTATTATGTCAAAGGGCTCTTTCACACTGGCAGGCCAGTTGGCTCCGCCTGTCTGTCTTTCAAGCGGACCCAATGGTACCATCCATTGTTCTCTATGGGGAGTCAGATGTAAACCGATGTGTAGGTTTACACCCGCCTGTACCCAAATAGTTAAAAACAGATGGATTGTGGATACATTCCCCATCCATCTAGAGGACGGATGACAGTTGGATGCAATTGGACTGGAGATCCGTTTACATCCGACCGCCCCATAGAGAAACATCAGGCTGTGTCCATGTGCAGAGCAGATATGGACCTGTCATCCGCCTGCTCAACGGGGATCAGTAGACAGATCCCCCCACTGAGCAGGCGGATCCGCTTGACCGCCCTTGTGAAAGGGCTCAAACATTGTTCTATATGTAATTCTTTTGAATTGATTTTAACCATTTGGATGTCAAATAAAAACAATATTTTTACTATATAGATCTGTGCTGTGGTACAGTAAAAGTCTGTTGTACAATTATACAAAATGGTTAAGGAAGAAACAAATTCCACAAAGTGCACAAACCTCAGTGACACATCCATTGGGTTCCCCTTGAAATCCATTGAGAACTTTTGCAGTGAAATAGTATAGACCAAGTAAAAGTCCTCAGTAAAAAGAAAATGGCAGCCCGCCTGGGGTTTGCCAAAAGGCACTTGAGGGACTCTCAAACCATGAGAAACAACTCTGGTCTGATGAAACAAAGATTAAACTCTTTGGCCTGAATGCCAAGCATCATGTCTGGAGGAAACCAGGCACCGCTCACCACCTGGCCAATCTCATCCCTACAGTGAAGCATGGTGGTGACAGCATCATGCTATGGGGATGTTTTTCAGCGGCAGAAACTTGGAGACTAGTCGGGATCAAAGGAAAGATGCATGCATCAATGTACAGAAACATTCTTGATGAAAACCTGTTCCAGAGTGCTCTGGACCTTATGCTGGGGCAACGGTTCATCTTTTAACAGGACAACGACCCTAAACACACAGCCCACATAACAAAGGAGTGGCTACAGGCCAACTCTGTGAATGTCCTGGAGTGGCCCAGCCAGAGCCCAGACTTGAACCCGATTGAACATCACTGGAGAGATCTGAAAATGGCTGTGTCCAACGCTCCCCATCCAGCCTGATGGAGCTTGAGAGGTACTGTAAAGAAGAATGGGAGAAATTGCCCAAAAATAGTTGTGCCAAGCTTGTAGCATCATACTCAAAATGACTTGAGGCTGTAATTGTGCTAAAGGTGCTTCAACAAAGTATTGAGCAAAGGCTGTTAATAATAATGTACATGTTGTGTTTTTTTTTTTTTTTTGTTTTTTTTTAATAAATTTGAAAGATTTCAAAACAACTTCTTTCATGCTGTCATTATAGGGTATTGTTTGTAGAATGTTGAGGAAAAAAATGAATTTAATCCATTTTGGTATAAGGCTGTAACATAACAAAATGTGGCAAAAGTTAAGCGCTGTGAATACTTTCTGGATGCACTGAATAATAAATGTCTGCATATTTTGTATTAAATCACGTAAGTGTAAACATCACTGAAATCACTTGGTTCAATGTTACACATTCATTAGTTTACAAAAAGTGTGTTATTGGCTGGAAAAAGTATGGTATTCTACATTCAGTAATATTTAACCAACATGTTAGCCTAAAAAAATCAACTATATTTTTATATGGCTATTGGTTTTACCATTGCTGTATTTTTCCTCCTAGCTGCTGTAAAAGACATTGACCGATACCATGAAAAAATCACGTTGTCTTTGCATAAGTCTTCACTGCCTACTCACCTGTCTAATGTCAAGATGGGAGTTATGAGTTCTGAAGATATGCCTGAATACTACAAGTAAGGACAACACAATTTTAATTATCATAGTAAAAATAAATATTTGGTAATGCAGTATAAACTAAGGTTTTGGTTCTTACAACTAAATTTTACTGCAATCTGCAGCCTGTGCAGCAACATCTTAATTAGAAAATCCTGAAAAAACCTAGGGGAACCTCACTAGCTAGGACTTGAACAGCAAATAAAAAATGGCAGTGCTTTAAGTTTTGTCTGTTTCCATTGAAAATAAATTGCTTCATTTATTTCCCCTGTAACCACAAGAACACAGGAAAAAATCTCCTTAATAGGGACTTAGGTAGCAGTAAAAATACAACAGAGGATTCAACCCTTCCCTACTCTATACAAAAAATAAATTAGTCTGGCATTGGTCTAGCCAGGGTCCCTTTGCAATTCAAATCACAGAACAAAATCAGATTGGACACTTTTTATTTTTTCAAGAGAGAGACTGGGCAGTCTGTCAGAACATTTCAAGTAAAAACGTCTTGCCAGTTCAATGTTAAGTTCAGCTCGATTTGCAGTATATTCTGTTCACATGGGCGAATTAATCTGTACACCCATTCATAGGGCCTTGTATTCCTGCTTAAGGAGGCACAAGTGGTCCAAACATAGTATGTCCACGTTCACAGCCCTGCATCTGTGCCACATAGATGTACATGAAGATATGATCAGCTGTTGGCAGCATGTCATAAATTGTAACAGGCTGGCTGCACAGACCTCTTGAGAGGATAAACAAAGCCCTCTGCATGGGTGTACAGATCTGTGAGCCCTTGGAGCAGATGATTTGCACATATGAGATCACATCTACTGTAGGCCAAAAAACTGGAACAAAGTAGGAGCAATAGGGCCTTGTAGGAGAGGACTAAAGTAAAGTGATTAAAGCAATAAGTAGTAACTGGATAGATGGACATAAGCGATAGGTGTAATTGATACTGTTATAATTGAACTAAGCCTAACTGGCATCTCACCCCCTCCATTCCCATTCTTTGTATACCACTTTCGTAAGCCAGGCAGTACTTCAGTTCTATAGTGAGCCATTAGGCATTGTTGTACTGAGCAGTTTTTCTGTAGACCATAATGCAAAGCCTGTTTTCTTGCATGCTGTACTATGATCTGATTATTGAAACTAAAACTGTAGGAAACCTGTATAGCAGAAGAAAGTGTCTGATTTACAATAGGTTTTAGAAGTTAGACCATACCAGAGGTTTTTTTCTTTTTTCCCCCAAATCTGCAAAATACATATCACTTCGGCATCATAAGTAATGACCGACTGATTTTTCCATTTCATAAATAAGTAGATCGATAGCAGTGTGAAAATGTCACTGGTTCATCAGGATACTAGAAGATGTAATCTGCATGCCAGAAATCAGACAAATAGAAGTTTGGAATGGGTTGGATGGTATGTTTGACTTTCGTTTGTTTCTTTTAAAGGCAAAGTGCTTCTCGGTTCCGCAACAATGACACATATGAAAAGGTGTTAAGGCAATCATTGGCATTCACAAATCCATCCACTGTTGAATTTCTTTTAAATTCTCTTGGAATTGTTGAGTCTAACCCACCGTCCTTAATACGAGGCCTTCAGAGGTAATATTGCTTATTAAAGTATGCCCGGTTTGCAGATGTGTAGAGTGTATTGGGTATAGTTACAAAAGTGTTTTACTTGTTGTCACACAGAAAATTGTTTAAAGCAGAGCTCCACCCAAAAGGGGAAGTTAAGTCCTTGTCCCCCACTCCCCGTTAAGGATTGGCACCTTTTTGGGGTGTGGGTACCTGAATTTGACAGGTATCCGCTCTCACTTCCGCTGCGATCTAAGGCAATCGGAAGCAGAAGTTGTCTTCCCCCTCCCTCCCCATAGTCTTTTGGACATGTGACAGGTCCCAGAAGACTACGGGATCATTCACAAAGCGCAGCTCTATTCACGCATGCGGCTGTGAAGCCGCAAGCTGTCACAGCCGGGTGCCCACACACTGAATTTGCTGGCGCTGGGGAGAGAAGATGGCCGGTGAAACCAGCTGTGGTGAGGACACCGCTGGGCCGAGGGACAGGTAAGTGTCTGTATTTTAAAAGTCAGCAGCTACCACTTTTGTAGATGCTGACTTTTATTTATTTATTTTTTAAATCAACTGGACCTCCTCTTTAAGTAAAAAAAAAAAAGATTGCAGTTATGTTTTTTTTTTTTTTTTTTTGTAAGAGTTGCACTTGAAAACTATTCAGTAATAAACTCTGCTACGAGTTTTAAATGAGCTGCCAGGGCCTTTCTATTTTAGTGTTGAGCAGATCAAATTTTTGTAGGCAAAGTATGCTTTTGTTGTGCAACAAAACACAATAACGACATGATATAGTATAAACTGGAGTATGTTGGATGAAACTGTGCTTTGCCCTTTTAAGGACTTAAATTCACCTTGCACATATGCATTTTCTCTTCCCACCCCTGCCACTGATACAAAGAGACATACTCATTACATTGTAGCTTTGGGCAGCAGGTGACTCTCTGCCCTTCTTCCACAATGTTACAAGGCAAGGTAAAGAGTCTTTTTTTGCCTTGTAATTTCTGGCCAAGTGACTGAGCTTACAAAGTTTCTCTTCACTAAGCCAGGTAACCAGAGTAGAAGTAAAGGTGAATATACACAGAAATGGGTGGAGAGGAAGCATTTAGGCAAACATGTTTCTTTTGACCTTCATTGGCAAATCGCAGGCTCAGTTTATCTCAAATTACTGTGTGACTACAAACATTTGATTGTACAGAATGTAGTTTAGATCCTATAACAGCATCTTCAGTTCTCTAAGGGTGGTGTAGGCCAAAAACACACCAAATAAGGTCATTTCAACATGCTGTACTGCAGTGGGAAAGCTTTGCAGATAAATGTCATATAAGGTATTGCCACACTTCAGCAGAAAAGAGACCTGCAAAAATCTTTGTCACACACAGGATGACTATTCCCAAGTGCGTGTGTACTGTGCAGAAGTTGTAGGCAGATGTTGGTCTTTGCCTTCAAAACCGCTTCAATTGTTTTTAGGTACACACAGTGCTTGTGCACACAGTTTTTGAAGGAACTTGGCAGGTAAGTTGTTCCAAACATCTTGGAGACCTAACCATAGATCTTCTGTGGATGTGGGCTGCCTCAAATCCTTCTGTCTCTTCATGTAATCCCAGACAGACCTTGCTCTTGAGATCAGGGCTTGTTCTTCTTTACACTGATAGTTTTTAATCATGTTGGCTGCATTTTTGGGGTCATTGTTCTGCTGCAGAATAAACTTGGAGCCAATCACATGCTTTCCTGATGGTATAGCATGATGTATAAGTATCTGCCTGTATTTCTCAGCATTGAGACACCATTGTTTCTGACCAAATCTACAACTCCATTTTCAGAAATGCAGCCCCAAACTTGCAAGGAACTTCCACCATGCTTCACTGTTGTCTGCAGATTTTTGCAAATGGAGTTAGAGATTTGCTCAGGATCAATGCTGAGAAATATGGACAGATCTTTATGCATCATGCCATACCATCAGGTAGGCATGTGACTGGCCCCAACTTTATTTTACATCAAGACAACAACCCCAAACATGCAGCCAATGTCATTAGGAACTATATTCAGTGTAAAGAAGAGACAGAAAATTTTGAAGCAGCCTACATCCACCGAAGATCATGGTTAGTTCTCCAAGATGTTTGGAACAACCTACCTCTCGAGTTCATTCAAAAACCGTGTGCAAGTGTACCTAAAAAGAGTGAAGAATTGATGGCCAGAATTTGGCCACACCAAATGTTGATTTTGATTTGAATTTCTCTTCTGTTCTTTTACTTTCCATTTTGGTAATTGATAAAACTAAACTATTACCACTTCTATTTATAAAAGCATATATATTACAGTATTTTTCACACCTGCGTACAACTTTTGCTCAGTACTGTATATCAGCTTGGAGTTGAGTTTCTTTTGTAAAATTTCAGATTAATACATGTTTTGGTTTTTTTTTTTTTCCTATGCACAGAGCAAATTTCTGTGATCAAGATTATGCTCCTTCCTTAAGGAAAAAGCAATCGTCCTCTTGGGCGTTAAAGTGGTAAGAATGTTTTTATATCTTATTTAAAAGTACAGCAAAAGACAGCAGGATGTTTTGTTTGATGTTTTGTTCTTTTGATTTTGTAGTGTGAAACAAGGTGTTGATTACTTTAAGTGGGGTCGGCATGTGGATGCTATGAACGAATATAACAAAGCATTGGAGATTGATGCTAAAAATGTTGAAGCTTTAGTAGCACGTGGTGCACTGTGAGTATTGGGTTTCTTTTATCCATTAACTTCATGTATTGATCATCTATTGACTAACCCCAGTATGGTGCCAGACGAATGTGGGAAAAGTAAATGGAAGAAAAATCATGGGAAAAAATACAACCTGCAGAATCAAAATGGAGAGCATTTACTCAGTGTCCTATAAGATAACCGTACAGCAAGTGAAGCAGACACATTGAGTATCTCCATAATCAAAAAAGTAATCCTAGAAGTATTGCAATGCTTTGGCCTGTTGTGCAAGTCAATAAATTGTTTAGTTTTGTGCTATCTTCCAGTAGTATTTGTAAGAAAGTCAAGTGCCCGCTTTACAATGTACAAATTGCTGCATATGCAGAGGTGTTTTCTAGATCAGATGACCTGTTCAGGAATTTTTTGCAAAGTCATCTTCCAGAACAGCATTGCGAGAAGGCACCGCCCACCTACACATCATCCATTGTTCTAAAAAAGTTCAGTCTCACATGCCTCAGTTCTTTGTGTTTTGGAGCGCATCACTGATTTATTTTACCCGACGTGCTAGTTGCAGGGGCCTCCTGTGCCAGCTACCCAATTGCATCCCCGGACAGTGGACCGGAGGAGGAAAGCCTTAACTAACTTCATTTTTGCTCTAGAAGCATTTTCCTTTCATTGCAGAACCTTAATCCTCCTCCTCCTGGTGCTATTCCCTAATATTGGGGCTGCTCATGCAGGTAGAGGGTCCATGTATGCCGCATTTTGCTCTCCTGTCCTGCCCCCATGTGACCGAATGCAGGAATGCTGGGGGGCAGGTTTAGATGGGGGCATCTCCATCCCTGTGTGGCACTATGGGCAGTCAGTATAATTTCTGGTGGCGCACATCCGCCAGTTGGTTACTTCCAGTGACATTCTTCTGAAATGTCACTTCCCTGAGCTGAAAGTGTCACTTCCGGTAGCAGTTGAAGCATGTGTGGTCCACGGATGCTGGCGGGACAGCTGTTGACTGCTACTAGGCATTCACAACAAGTAGTGGAGAAGGACACAAGGGGCTGCAAGAGCAGTATGGTATCTTTTGTCAGCATCCGCTTTCCATTCAACATACTGCAGGGGCACCTGGGGGGGGAGAGGCCAGAGCCAGGGTGGCTTACTCTCTATACAGATGCAGACCATGTCTGAAACCACACCACCTTCCTGCCCTGCAAATCCTGTTTCACAGGAAGGGTCTAAGTAAACCTAGAGGGTAATGGTTCCTTTTCTTATGCTTTACCCTGCATGCACTGCCTTTTTTCTTTTGGGAATTATCACTGTGATCCTTCTGCTGTCACTTCTTTATGGGGGTGCCTTTTCTCATTATCTATACTTTTACATTCCTAACTGGTCCCTTGTCTGTCTCTTTAGACCAAGGCTTCAAATGAAAGGAAACCTAAGAGCAGCAATTAATCCCACCCCCATCAAATTAAGTGCTTTGTGCGATGCAAAATTGTCTGCTAGCTGGTCTAATCCTTTTGTCATAAATGCATTAATAAGTTAGTGGCTAAGGAATCACAAGGATTGTTTAAAGGTCTGATTACTTCTGTGAAAGAGAAAATGTTGGATACATTTTGTTTCCTTTTTGTTCTCCAAGATATGCAGACGCAAATAACTCCTATAACTGTAGTCAACCCTACTTGTCAAGCAGTGGCTCCATCTTGCAGCTGGGAAGAGGTGGGCAGACTGGAGGAGACCAGAAATTCACAGGATTCACGTTAGATGAAGGCAAAAGTAGTTATTCAGCAGAGGAATGAGAAAAAACCCAATGTCTTTTACCTAACGAAGATGCGGTATAAAATCAATTTTGGAAACATTGGGAATCCGATAAAATCTGTCTATCCATGATAGAATGTACAAGGGGCTCCAAAGCAGAAAGTTTGTGTTTTTTTTTCTAATGCACAAGTCACTTAAAGATATGATTAAAGCAAAACAGGCAATCCAAAGAAGAGGATATTCTTCTCAGCTACCTTGAAACGCAGATTCCCATTTGCAGATGAAAATATTGAACTCTGGGCAAAGGGCCCCAAGCTTGATGCTTCCCTTTCAAAGATCTCTAAAAAGACTGACTTATCTTTTGAGTACACAGGCACCCTGAAGGATTCTAAGGACAAGAAGGCAGAAGCATTATTGAAGAAAGCCTGGGAAGTAGGAGCAACAAACCTCAAGCCAGCACTGGTTACATTTCAAGCCTTTGGTTGAGCCAACTCCAATTACACCTGGAGACAGGTACCTCAAGAGATGCTGAAATCAATACCAACAATAAACAAGCTGGTGGATCTGCAGAGGCTGTAAAAATCACGACACATTCCACAGCCCTCATCAATTCCTCCAAAATAGCTCTATGGTTGAAGACTAAGCGGTGTTCCATTTTTTTGGTATTCTACTGTTTGGTCCTCAGAATCCATTTTAGACAGATCAGTAGACCGGGATGAAAAAAATTGGATGAAATGGTGACCATGTTTGGAGGAAATGGTGCACATCCAGCTTCAAATCAAACAATCCCTGTTGTGGTGACTGAGCAAGAATACCTTCTTTGGTATCTTGGCATCTTTGGTCTTAGACACGTATAATTTGGATAACGATAGATGCAAGCTCATGGGGATTGGGAGTGCACCTGAACATAGGCTTGGCTTAAGGAGCATGGAACAAACTCTGGTCAAGGAAATCCTCAAACATGAAAGAGCTGAAAGCAGTGGAACAAGCTTTACATCACTTTTTCATTAAAGTCTAAGGATGCAATGAAAAAAGGTTGACCGCACTCCAGTGGCCAGGGAAATCCAAAGTGTTTTGCACATATTCCATGTTACAAAAACATCACAGTTCCAGGTAACAGGATAACAGGAAACCGCAACTGCAATAAACTTTGTGTTTCCCTGGCCATTGGAGAGTGGTCAACCTTTCTTCTTTGCATCCTTGAGTTTTAAAGATTATGTATCGGACCAGCACCTGATTGCACAGTGAAGGGGCTGACGTATAGTAAATCAACCTGGATCAGTGTTTGTCTTTCACTTATCGCCATAAGTCAGAGGAAGACCTGTGCAAAATCTTATCAGACAATACTACTGCCATTGCTTACATCAACAAAGAGAGAGCACAAGATCACACCTCTTAATGCCCCTGACAGATAACATATTACGTTGGGCAGAACTACTAAAACTGCTATCCCTCTCGGCTCTACACTTATTTGCTTGTGAATTTCCTAAACCGTAAACTCTTAGTGAGCCTTAACATGGTGAATGTCTCTCAGTCTAGCAGAAAAGTGGGCGGTCCTTGATGTGGACCTATTTGCCTCAAATGCCAATGCAAAATCAGAAACTATTATCTCTTGAAGAGAACGATGTCAGTGTGGGACTCCATGCCTTTCAACATCAGTGGACTTACCCATTACTAGCTCATGCTTTTACCCATATCAATCTAATAATGATTCAGAAGATTATCAAGGACGAAGCCAAAGTGATAATCAGTGCTCCCCATTAGCCTCAAAGACCATGGGTTGCTCACCTTCAAACAATCAGCATAGCACCTCACATAAGACTGCCCTTTAAAAAGAATCTAGATCATCTTTATCTAGAAACATTGAAGCTTTCAGCGTGGATACTAAAGGGGAAATATTAAAAGAAAAGATGCTCAGACAAAGTAATTTCCACGAGTCTGGAAAGGCCTCTCTCATTCTAGTGATCTTCTATTTCTTACCCAGGGTCTTGACCGCATCCCAGTGAATCCAGGAGATTATAATACCTTCATTCTGTGCAAATACTACTAACGAAAAATAATTATTTCATAGTCTATATGTCTGAAGATTTCTGATAGCATACCTAGAAAAAGCTTAATATTGGAGGAAGTCCACCATCATATTTGTTCTCTTTTCTGGAGCCACAAAAGGTCAAAAAACGCATTGCCAGATTGGTTTGGGAAGGAATTGTCAATGCTTACCTCACAGGTTAAGACACCTCAAAATCCATAATTCTGGGTGGAAAAAGCAGGCGCTTCGAAGGCCAGATCTATAGGGCTTTGACATGATCTAGCTTTCAAACATTTGTCCACCTTTACAGAATAGGGCTGGTATTCATTGAGGACGAAGCTTTTGCAGGAAGGTCCCACAGACTGTAGTCTCCCCCCCCATCCCCCCTCAAGGAATTATTGCTTGCTTATCCTCTCAGTGCTCTACTGGATGATGACTTGAGAAACTTACAGACCCCATTAGCATTTCCCTGTCAGTTAAAAAAAAAAAAAAAAAAGCATAGTGGATCCCAACGCTAACTGCTGGAACAATACCAGAGAGGAAATGTATAAACCTAGTAAGACAATTTTATAATACAGTTTATAGAAGCTCCAACTAGAAATTCTGCTCTGCTGGACCTGGTAGTCTCAAACCATGCAGAACCTATTACTAATAGTTAGGGTAGCAGTGACCTGACCATAACATTATTTCATTTAATACAAGCTATAAGGGCTTGTTCACACTTGCCTGCACACTAAACCGGAGCAGTTGGTGTTTGGGAGCAGCTATTTTGGCCTGCAGTTACATGTGGGAGAGGGCACATTCCATCACATTACACAGCTCCCTTTTTTCGTTTTTGTGTAAACTTTATGTAAAGTGTACAAAGTGACACTGCATGCATGTCCCCACACAGCAGAGGGCCATCCAGAGTTCTGCAATATTATGCAAACATATTGCATATAGCACATAACTCTGGAATACAGAAAAATGCCACCTTCTATTGTGAAAATGACACATAGAAAACGTGTTTTCTATTTGTCATTGCAGTTAGCTGCATTTTATCTATGATGAAAAACTCATGTATCTGGACATACTGTGAACAGGCCCTAAACAACAAGCTTACGTTGAAAAGATAAACCCCTAATTTTCAGAGAGAAAAATTTCCACGGCTGAAGGCTGCTCCTCAAGATTTAGACTAGGAGGGAATATTGTCATTAAAGAACACAACAGAATTGGGAATGCTTCAAATAGAGTTTATGCATACACACTGCAAAAT